AAAGCCCCTTCAACAAACACGATTTTTGTTCCCAAGGGTCTGACTTAATATCCCCCAACTGGGCAATTTCTAGATGCTGTTTCCCCTGTGCCTTCCCCAGGTCCTTGGACTTGAACAGCAGAGGCCCCAATGGGTGATGCCCATTGCAGACCTCATAGGAGTTGCTTTTAGGTTCCCTGGGGAATTTTCTGTTACTACCTCATTGAACCAGTGAAGGAGAAAAAAAGAATTTGGTTCCAAATAAGGTGACACTGGAGTGTGCAGGCAGGATCTGACACCACATCTAATGAGCCTATTATTAGAGGCTCTTGGCAGAGCGAGGGAAATTGAATGTTAATGAAAAGCAGGCTCTGAGAACAGTTTAAAACTCAGCACCAGCCCCATTACATGTTCCTTTTCCAGTCACAGAGGGTGTTTTAAGCTCATCATTGAAGCAGGACTCATGGATTTGTGTGCAAAAGAATGGGGCAGCAACTGTAAAATTAACAGCTGTTTAAATAATTCAGTGGAGAAGTTAAGGCTGAAGGAAATTATAGGCTCGTTGTGCAAGTTTTTCATTATCCGAACAGCCGTCTCATCACATGGCCTTACTTTGTTGGGCAATGGAGAGAGGTCTGACGGGGTCGGTTTCTGGAAACTTTCTATATTAAGGAGTTGCATTGCTCAATCTTCCATCTAGAAGGCACTCAAATAGAAATAAAGGCTGTCAACCGTGTTGGAAAGCATCAGACTCCGTGGACTTGGTGTAACCAAGCCGCACCTGGGCTTTCCAATGCCTTGGTGGTATGAAGGGAGTATTAATAAGGGGTAAGCATGCTCACTTGAAATAGCTCATTGAGTTTTTCCGGTGGACTTACCCAGGCTGGCTCCTGCCCTTTCTGCTCATTGTCAGGGATGCAAACTGCAGGCTACTGTGATCTCATTCTTCCTGCCTGTGTCCAGCTCACGGCTCCCTGGGTCCAGTTTTCTCTTGCTGGGAGCTAGAACAGTCGTTGAAACGCCATCATATTCATGGTGGTAACAGGGCCCAGCATTACTCATCTGATGTTCATTTGAATCAGCGCCGGTGCTAACAACCAACACATGGACACAAGGAGTTACATCTGGTGTGAGCTTCAGGCTCTAGTTTGAAATACAGATTTCCAACCTGTGCACATTTCATTTATTTGCTAAGTTCTGGATACAATGCATAATTAATTTAGGAGACCCTCTTTCCCTCTAGGTTTCTGTTCAAGTGCCTCCTTATCACAGAAGCCTTCCCTGGCAACCTGATACACAATAGCTCTGCCTTTTCCCCACATGTCTTTCTCCCAGCACATATCTCCCCTTTAAGTATATTTATTCACTTATTTGTCCTCCCACTAAAGCGTACACCCCAGCCGAGGGCTTTGTCTGTTTTGTGTATCGTGATATTTTTAGCACCTAGAGTAGCATGGGGCTTGTCATATGTGCCCAATAGAAGTTTGTGGAACAAATGCAAGAATGGTAAGAGGCTTGCTGAGGAGGCATGCTGCCAGTTCTCTGCAGAAGGGCCTCGTTCCCAGGAAAAGGCAAGGTGTCCTTGATAGCTGCTTTCCAACCCTTAATTTCTTTGAGCAAACATTTATCGGGCACTTGGTACCAGGTATTAGAGATCACAGTCCTTTTCTCCCAGGCCTCACAGACTGATGGAGGATGTAGACATTTAAATTAAATCCATCCTTTCAGATCCAGCTCTGGCATCAGCCCCTCCTGGGAGCCTTGTTTTCTAAAGCTAGCTAGGTTAGGCACTGTTCTTATTGTTTCCCATATCATTCTGTGCAGAGCTTTATCATGACCTGTATGTAAAGCAGACAAGTACAGTACAATGTGCCTTCTGTTTCCTCTTAAGAGCTCCCTAAGAGCGAGGATTACACCTTACTCGTTACTGAGGATAGAGTCTGGCACAGAGTACTCAGTAAATACCGGTTATCCCTGCTATTGCCGCCGTGTGCCTTCAGTAACCAGCATTTATATAGCTGTGTATGTGTGTGCAATCTCTTTTTTTCCTTAAACTCATTTTTTTAAAGAAACTTTATTGGGGATCAGTGTATTTTTCCAGGACCCATCAGCTCCAAGTCAAGAAGTTGTCTTCAATGTAGCTGTGGAGGGTGCAGCTCCTTGGCCCATGTGGAAATCGAACCGGCAGCCGTGGTGTTATGAGCCTGTGCTCTAACCACCTGAGCTAACTGGCCGTCCCTGCAGTCTCATTTTAAAAATTATATCTGTTCTGAAGATGCATAAGGCTTGAAAGCAGCTCTATAACATATTATTAATATTATATAACATTATAGCCTATAACATTCCCCAGCTCAGGCTCTCCTGGTTCTTCTGGAGATTCAGTGATTACTTAGACTGGTATAAAATCTTTACACAGAGTTCTTAGGGAACTCCCTGTGTCCCCAGAGGCAAGCTGAGGCCCTGAGGTACTTTAAACATTATTTTCTATGTGCCAATGTCAGGAACTCCAATGAGCCTGGAGCATGTGTTGAATTCCAAGAGGGCAAGTCACAGGAATTGTCTCAATAAATACTTGTGGGTTTATAACATTTTGATGCTGCCACTTTGATGTGGCTGTTTTGATTCGGGGCTTCGGGGACATTTTGTTGTGGCCTAAAACACAAACCATTAAACATGCAACCATTTTGTGCAACTAAGAGCTGTGTGCAACAGGCCTCCAACCATATTGCTGGATTGGGTGTATACGTTAACCTACTATTTGTGTGTTTTCACTTTGCCATGGCTGCTTTGATGCCGGACACTTTCATTACCTCATATGGAGCTTGCCAGAATGTGTGCTTTAAATACTTGCTAATCTCACTTAAATACCAACCATGTGCCTGCTTCTAACTTCAATGGCAGGAGGGATTCAAGTGAAACAGAAGGCAGGAGATGAGAATCTCAAGGAGATCATAGAGTCTTGCCAAGGGCTGACTAATGGAATACATTCAGCATTTCAGAACACATAAGACCTCCATGCTTTGTTGGCCATTTTCTGGTTTAGAGTCGCAGATTACTGGCTGGAAAAAATGTTTAAAAATATATACAAAGATCCTAGTGCAAGCATAGAAAAATGGTCTATCCACGTTGAAAAGATCATTTTCATCAGTTCCCCGTGCTGTGTTGCAACAAGAACTTTTCTGTCTGTTTCACTTGGTGGTGGGAGGAAGTGGCATTTCTTGCCCACTGATCAGAAAGGTCTTCATCTGCTTGCTGTGAGCAGTCATGCCCTAGTTTCTTTTCTTAGACAGTTTGAGCGATCGTTAGCACACACGTATGTTGGATAGTCAGAGGTGGCCCCCAAACTAACAAGTGAGTAGAAAATTAAGCCATTAAGGGAGACCAAGAAGCTTCTACTTCGACTAATAATTTCATCTGGGTATTCTACCAGACTATGCAACATTGTTTCCAATTTCAAAGCATTTTGGTACCAGGTATATTAAGCAGCCTGTTGTGAAAAAGGAAGTGTGTGGTTGGATCCCTGGCTCTAATGCAGAGACTGGAGCTAAGTGTGGTGTCTTGTTGGCATGGTGCTGCACCTGGGTAGATCCCCTGAGTTAAATGTCACCCTTGTCATGAACTTGATGAGTTTTGTGTGTCTCTTCTTCATAGTCTCTGGAGAAAGGAACCAGCTGTGTCAGGTGCCATGCCAGGCCACTACCATACATAATCATGTTTAATTTCCACAAGATAGGCAATCATACCCTTTTTTCTACACACCACACAGCTAGCAAATGATAGAGTAAAGATCTGAACCCCAGGTTCTCTGATTCTAAAATCTGTGCTATTTCCATTATAACCAGCGATTCCATACCACTCGCCTGCAGCTGGGTGCTGTTTCTAAAGGGCATTTTCTCTAGTCTGTGCTGAGAATATCTGGGTCTAGTCTGTGCTGAGAATATCTGGGTAAGGCTAATACCACCTTATCTTAGAAGGCACTGTTGTTTATTCAGAGACTGTGGCTTGTCTTTCTAGATGTTAAAGACTTGTTTTTTTCTTCTGCCACATGGTGGTGATTGTAAATGGCAGCTAACAGAAGTGTCCTTAGTTGTAAAAGTAAATATTTGGCCTCGCTAGGTCAATCCTCAAGATTATATTTGAAATCTCATTGTCCTGGGAAATGACAAGGCTGGGAAAAGAGGCAGGATGCCGATTTTCCTTCCAACAGCCCCACTGCAGACTCTCAGAACAGCTTGGGATCACATGAGGTTTATCTGGAAAAGGGCTGAGCTGCAGCCAGGGATGAAGGTGACATGCCTCTAAAGACCATACTTCTTTGACGCCAAGTGGCATTGACTCTTGGGAGATTCTCATAGGAAAGCCTTGATAATGCAAGTGATCTTTTAAAAACCACAAAGGATTAACATTTAAAAAAAAACTGGAGAAACCATCTTTTCCGAAAGAGAGATAAAACTTGGACCAGCATGTATGATTTTTCTGTGTCCTGATGGGGGAAGACTTGAGCTCAGAGGCATTTTAATTTAGCATGACTTAGGCCATAACCCTACTGGTATTATTCAACAGCCCCTCTTTTGCTGTTGTTACAGAATGAAAGAGCTCAGGTTTGGGGAGCCAGGCATATCTGGGGTTGATCTCCATTTCTTTTAGCCTTGTGACCCTGGGCAAGTTACTTTCTGTCAGATGGGGCAGGGATAGTTTCCTCCGAGTAATGGGTGGCCAGCTCTTGGAAAAACCCTACCACGGCCTGTGGCCTCTCTTTTCTTTACTGTGATGATCCAAGATAATAGGGAACAAAAGCACCCGGCCCGCGGATATTCAGTGTGTCCTACGGTCCTGCTTATAAGGGAACCAGAACTCCGGATCCCCTGAGTTGCTTGTGTTGTTTTTATTTTCTTGCCAATGTCCCGGATTCCCAGCTGTGCCCAGGGGAGGCCTGTTTCTCCTCCTACTCCCGGAGCCCCTCAAACAGGATAGGGGAGGTGCCCAGTGGTCTCTAACAATGGCTTTCACTTCTGTTTTAGTGCCAACAACATGCCCAAGCAGGTCGAAGTGCGAATGCACGACAGCCACCTCAGCTCGGAGGAGCCAAAGCACCGTCATCTGGGGCGGCGGGTGTGTGACAAGCTGGGGAAGAACCTCCTGCTCACTCTGACGGTGTTTGGTAGGTGACAAGTGCCACCCCACCTGGCCCTCTTCTCTGCATCTCTCCTGTCTCTGGGGGGGAGGCTGGCCAGCAGCCAGCCCTCCACATGCTCTCCCTGAAGCCAGCTTTCCCAGGCATGGCTGCCTCAGTGACGTAATCTTCCCCATCACGTGCCCTGGCCACGTGTTTTACTCCTTAGGACTCGAGGGGTTCCCACATGGCAGTATGCATAGACATTGCCTTTGAGTGGGTCAGCATGTCGATTCCCAGGGCTGCCGACTATGGGGACTTTGCTTTGGGCCACCTGGAGTAAGGTCCTGGAATCTGCATCTTAACAAGCTTTCTTGGTGATTCCAAAACGGGTGGCCAGTGTACCACCTTTCGAGAAATACCTGTATCAAGATAAAGGCAATAGTTGCAGAAAACCCCACTAAGACAGCTCCCAGTGGAGTATAGTGTGGGAGTAGAAAAAAAGAAAAAAAAGAAAAAAAGAAAAAAAAAAGACAGCTCCCAAGGTCTAACCTTCTCTGAACATTGCATTAACTTAGATTGACGTATCCCATTAGATAATGAGGTCAGTGTGGAAAAGGCTTGTCCCAGTGTCTTGATCTGCTACTAGTCTATCTCGAAAGTCTTATTTCCCTGCTTCAGGCCTCACCCAGGCCATGGTTGTCCTTTTGTGTGACTATTGATATAATCTTGGTCTTAGGTTTTCAACCAGCGTTTGTTGCAAATGTGGCACGTTGCAGTTTCTTGTAATGATAACCACACCATTTCCTTTCTCAGTCCCTCCCTTGTTCTTCAGCACTCGCTTAGGCTATGCACAGAAGCAGTGAACAGCTCATCTCCCCACCACCCACCCACCCCTACACACACACCCACACCCTTCATTCCATGACTTCTGCTTTGAGTTAGCCATCTTGGATGTCAGTGGACTAGGGTCAGCCCTGGGAGCTTGCCACAGCACAGCTCACTTGATAAAAGGGAACCACAGGCATGGTAAGGTTTTTCCAAGGGTTCTCCTCCACTTAAGCACATTTCATGCATCGTAGGTCTTGAAGAAGTATATTTTTCACCTATAGAAGAAGGACAGATCAGGCTTTGGGCCACATGATTCCTTTTGCAGCCTTGGAGTTAACCCTGTAGCCTATCGGCCTGGGAATTCCCTCCATCCCTTCCAGCCAGTGGCGCTATGACCTGATTTGTGGTTTCCACAAAGATTGTTTATATTGGATGCCTGTTTGGAGAGATCTGAAATTTCTATTGTGGAATCCCTAAGCATGCAAAATGAAAGCCTCCTGCCAGTACCTTCCCAAATTGTTTCCTCCCAAATTACATATTTTTAGAGACCCTCTTTCATCTCCCATAAGATCAGCAAGTCTAAAGATCATGTAAGAGGACACAGAAGTCAAGGACAAAACTTGAGGGTAAGCCATGGGGAAATTATTGGAAGCCGAAGAAAATAGAGGCAAAACAGAAACTCCCACCAGCTTGGTCAATCAAATGTTCCTTTTATCTGGCATCCAGTTATAAAAAGGGAAACAATACATTAAACATGTGGCCAGGCCTGGGCTTGGAGGAGAAACAATACCTGGCACTGTGAATTATTTCTACTGATAATCTGTGACTCTGCATGCGGACAGTAGCCTCCAAAAGGTTGGAGTCCAGTCTCCATGTCATACTTCCCATAAAGCCTTGGAAAGGCTCCCCTTGTCCCTTCCAGTGCTGCCTTTTAGAATTGTGGGAAGTACAGGATATTGTCTTACTAGTCACCAACATCAGCCTCACTCGCCTAAGGGTATTTTTGTTACATGTTATTCATCATCGGATAATCAAGAAATATGAGAAAGGTCCATGTCACTGAAACAAGTCCCTAAAGCTATTCATTGGACTAGGGCCAAAAAATAAACCCTTATTTTTTTTCTCCCCTTGCTTATAGGTGTTATCCTGGGAGCAGTATGTGGAGGGCTTCTTCGCTTGGCATCTCCTATCCACCCTGATGTGGTTATGTTAATAGCCTTCCCAGGGGATATACTCATGAGGATGCTAAAAATGCTCATTCTCCCTCTAATCATCTCCAGTTTAATCACAGGTAAGACTGTGTTTCTGGTGCCTGGCCAAAATGGGTCATACTCTAGCTCCAGCTTTTAGACTGACTGTAGAACCTCAGTTTGGTTGAAGGAATTAATGTGATCATCTGTGTCATTTCACTTCAGAACCTTGGTTTTCCTGTCTCTAAAATAAGGATAATCAACCCTAAAAAATTTAAAAATAAGTTTTCCATCTATTGGTCAGTCCATATGTCTGTTTAGCAACAAAAGACAAAAGGAAAGAGCCTTATGTTAAAAATGGCAATATGTGTAGTGATTTTAATTTTTAATGTGCTATACTTTTCTCATTTTCTAAATTATACTTTTTCAGAAACCGAGAAAGGTAATAAATAGAAAAGGAATTTTTTTCTTTGCTGTTTAATTGGGTGTAAAGGGAAGTATTAAAAATAAATGAAATACTAGATAATAAAGCTCTTTGACTTTTTTAGAAGAAAGTTCCCCTTAATGTGGAGATCATGTTCACTTGTTTTTGGCTGAAAGAGTTACTTTATATGAAAGATTCTTTTTTCCTCCATGGACTTATACTTGTAATTTCCTGCTTACCAAACGATATTTCTGGAACAGGGTATAAATTGTAGGTCAGAGACTAAGCTCTGAGTTAAGGGTGAGAAACTGGGCTTTGGTCTATATTTGGGTGCCAAGAAGATGGGTGACCTTGAGAAAGCTGTCCCTCTGGACAGTCGGCCTTATGAAGGAAGTGAGGCTCTGGTAATCCCGAGCAAGGTTGTTCTACAGTCTCAGAGCTGGTCAACCAGTGAATCCAGGAATTAGAAATGCTGGGACTCGGTGTCGGGAAAGTCTTGATCATTCAGCCTCAGATTGAGTGAGCGTTTCACCTTACATGCTTGGTTCCAAATCAAAGAATATGTCCTCCCTGCCTAACAGACTGCACACTGGCCAACCTGGTAAGGAAACCTACTTCCATTGGCTAGAATTAGACTTTAGGTTATAAGAAGTGGGTCATATATGGGTCAGCTTAATTTAGACAAGTTGACATCAATGACTTCCTCCCCCATGTCAAAAAGGGGGTGCAATCTCTCTGTCTAGTAAAAGTAGGAACTAAAACCAGGAAGTAGAAAAACTGAAGAAACAACTGGAAAAAAACCCAAGGAAGGCTGGAGTTTTTGTGACTTGCTTGGAATTTCCTTTAACAATCATAGAACCTCCCACAGTCTTGATGAAGCACCCACCTTTTCTGGGTGCTTTATGCACGTGTTCTTTAATCCTTATATGTGAAAGGTGAAAGGGCTGTGCTAGATCATTATTCCAAGCCCCTTTTCTTTCTTTTTTTTTTTAACTTTATTGGGGAACAGTGTGTGTTTCCAGGACCCATCAACTTCAAGTCAAGTCATTGTCTTCAATCTAGTTGTGGAGGGCGCAGCTCACTGGCCCATGTGGGAATTGAACCAGCAACCTTGGTGTTATGAGCCTGCACTCTAACCACCTGAGCTAACTGGCCACCCCCAGACTCCTTGTCGATGACCAGTAATATATTCAAGAATTTCAAGGCTTGACATAGGGCTACCAGCTTTTTCTTTTCCAAAGTGAGGACATTAAAAGCAACAACAACAGGGAAAACAAGTAAACAACTATCACACACCAGCACCATCAACTCATAAAAGAGGGGATATTTCGACACCAAGTGGGAAGGATTTTAAATTGAATTTATTCAACTTTATTTTAACTCACCATCACAGACTAACAAAATGTAGTCACCGACCAGTTTATAAACTCTGAACCAGAGATCTCCAGCTCTCCTCAGTTCTCTAGAATCTCAAAAATGTCCTTGTAAAACAGAATTGCAAACTGTGGGATTGACCAAATAGTCAGTTGGAGGGGGCTTAATTAAGCATTAATGCATTTGAATCATAGGAAGCCAAGTTATAGGTATGCAAAGATGAGTAATTAACAGAAATGTCACAGAATTAAACCTTCTGGATTTCTTTTCAATCCAGGGTTGTCAGGCCTGGATGCTAAAGCCAGTGGGCGCTTAGGCACGAGAGCCATGGTGTATTACATGTCCACGACCATCATCGCCGCAGTCCTGGGGGTCATCCTGGTCTTGGCTATCCACCCAGGGAACCCCAAACTCAAGAAGCAGCTGGGGCCTGGGATGAAGAATGATGAAGTGTCCAGCCTGGATGCCTTTCTGGACCTTATTCGAAACCTCTTCCCGGAAAACCTTGTCCAAGCCTGTTTTCAACAGGTAACCCAGAGCTCTGAAGTCTTACCTCTCCAGCCTCCTAAGTTATCCAGGTGATAACTTACAGTCTGTTTCAATGAACCAGATCCAGGGGGCAATTTTTTTAATATTTAATTATCTCTGTCTCGGGGTGTATGAGGTGACTTTGGGATTTGAGACATGTGCATTTTTTTTTTAACCTTCCCCTTTTTTCAGCTCACTTAATACCTCTTTGCTCTGGGATCCCACTTCTTTTTTTTTGCTTTTGTTTTTTTTTGTGTCTGTTTTCTCTTTCCTCCTTTTTTGTTCCTGTCTCTGCATCACCCAAGAGCACATTTTCACTACCGTTGCCCACACCTTCTAGAGTGCCCAGTGGTTCTCCTTCTTGGCAGTATAGCAAAACCACATGTGTTGTGTTTACAAAATACACATGCTCTACAGAATCAAAATCCCCAGGGTGGGCCTGGGGATTGGGTATTTATTAAATTGTGGCAGTAATACATGAGGACCGCAAAAAGTTTAAGTAGTAAAGTTTCAAGTTCCCACTTCCCCTTCCTTTGAACTCCTCATGTTGAGAATTTTCTTTCCTCCCATATGCGTATTATCCATGTGTGCATCATCTTAAAATAAATTCAACCCAGTGGCACTGCATTATACATACTGCGTTGTACCTTGCTTTTTCATTTAAAAACACCTCTCTCCTTCTCTCTCTCTTCCTTCCCACCGCCCTCCATGATTGCATAGTATTTCTAAAGGGTAAATTCCTAGAAGCTAAAAAATGTCCTGCCAAAGAGTTTTATATTTGAATTTTCTAGATGTTGCAAAATGGACCTACAAAAGTTTGTAACAATGTATACTCTTACCAACTGCATACAGGCATATATTTTTAAAAACTGGCAATTCTTTAAAACAGATGCTGCTGCTGAGTGGAACCACTCCAATAGCTGCCTAGGCCCCACTCACTAGCCTGTTGTCTGACCCCAAGACCAGCTCAGGTTAGAATACACCTCAGTTCCCATTTGGGAACTAAACTAGAACCAAGATGCTTCCTTCAGCCATTTCCAGGGAATCACAGAAGAATTAACTTAGGAAACAGGTCACTTAGAGGAAATGTCTGTATTCCCAGCTGCTCCCAAAATGCAATGGCCAACCACTGCTGAGCCCATTACTTTGGGTTGGGATATACTATCCAATTTCCAGTGCCACTTTCGCAGCACTTATAGCAAGGAGCTGTATTAGCAGAAGCCATTCCAGGCAAGGGAAGGTGGATGGGAGTGAATAGAAACAGGATAGGGAAGGGGGTGCTTCCTGGCGCTCCCTGTGAATAAATAATGGGCTTGCCCTTCAGCCAGCCTGCTTAGAAGATGAATTTGCTTGCTTTGGGGTGATAGACTCAACTGGGTGCCAAGTCTATTCTTAACATTTTGGAAAGAGCGCTTTGGAACTATAGCTGCTGGCAGCTGAGCGGGTAGAAGACTGGGGGTGGGTTAGCATGAGTGGGATGCGGGCGGGACAGAGTTGGGCCTCCGTTCCATGCGGGGTCATGGCCATGCTCTCTGCAGGAATTCGGTTTCTCAGGCAGGACTGAGAAGCAGGCAGGCACTTTGGAGCTGTTGCTCTGGTCTCGGGGTGTTATGTGGTGACAGTCACATGCTTGGTGACCTCTGGTCGATGAGCATTCTCTGCATATAACCTCCCATGACAGGAGGCACTGTACCACACGAGAAGAGAGGACTGTGCCCTTCCCAGCTGCAGCCCTATCCTGACCCCACCCCTCCGCTGGCACAATTCATCTAAAGAATGAGTCCTTAATCCCCCAGCTAAGTCCAGAGTCATGGGCCCTTTGGGTTAGGACAATCAGAGGAAATATCATGTAGAATCTTTGACCTTAGGGTGAGGGAGGGCATAGATTCCTTAAGCCAGACTTCAGGCAGCTCAGAGGAAAGGAATCTTAAATTAGCTGCTATCCCATGGGCTTAGGAGGGCCTGGAAGAAGGTTAAAAGAAAGGGAACTCTTACAGGGTGATAGCACATTACCGGAGAGAAAGGGTGCTGGAGAGGTGCCTTCCTGTCCCTGGGGTACAGCTGGAAGTGATTTTAAATCACCTGTCTGGGTGGAGGGGGCTTCATGACCAGTTAGACACAGAGACATGAAGAAGGCATGTTTTCCCCAGAGCAGAGGCTGCCTTACCTGAGGTGCCAGGGCCTGTGTTTTTGAGAACAGGGAGGCTTCCTGCTTGCTGCTTAGGACTGACTCTGAACCAAGGCGACGTGTCCAAGAGACCAATCGCTGTCACGTGTGGCCTGACCACATTCAACCATGCCCAGTGAGAGGGACCACACAGGGTCTTTTCTTCCTGGGAACTCTGTGAGCTGTGTTTGCTGGTTCAGCAGGTGTTGTGAGTACCTCCGAGGTGCCAGGCTTTCCACTGTGTATAGGATGCCAAGGGAATGAGGGAGTCAGGGTCCCTGCACTGTGGAGCTTACTAACATTGAGTGATAGAGGTATAGACCATAACAAAAAGTCAGGTACACACACAAGATACTTTAAAATTAAGATAAGTGTGTTCTGAGGGCTAGAGGCAAGATGATGGGTGAGGCAGTAACGTGGGGAGCCGTCTGAGCTGAGACATGGACGGGTCAGAATGAGCCAGGCTGAGAAGAACCGGGGGAAGCGCCTGCCCGGCAGAAGCGCAGGCTTGCAGAACTGAAAAGTATTTAGTGTGTTCAGAGAAGAGAAGGGAGGCCAGTGGGTGGGGACTGGGGTGAGCGGAGGAAGTAAAACCCAGTACAGGCAAACTTGGGTTCTTATTCTAAGAGAGCTTTAGGCAGGGAGATGACTGTTTTCCTATTAAAACAAAAACAAAAACACCCACTAATCTGGCAGCTATGGATGTAGACAGAGCTCTAGGTAGCTGTGCTTACCTGGTGATTGTGGGTAGACAAGAAGAGAAGTGGGAAAGTTACCGAGCAGGCTTTTAGATGTTTTAAGGTGAGAGATCAGGGTGGCTTGGACTCAGGTAGCCTGGAGTTGGCACCCTGATGGGGTTGTCCAACCCAAATAGGCGCTGAATCAAGAGCTCGAGCAGAGAACTGGGCCTGTTTCAGTATCACCATCTCCCCCACCTTCAACTTAAGCCACTGGCCTGTGTTGTTTGGAAGCTGGATTTTGGAGTCAGACATCACTCTTTGTTCCTGGGAGCATGACTCTGTTGCTCACGGAAGCCTCCCTTCCGATCACTCCTGCATTCTCTCTTCGTGCCAACATGGCTCAGACCACAGGGCCTGCATGTGGCTGTTGTCCCCTCACACACTCAGCCTGGGCTTCCACTCTCCCTGCACAAGTGCATGCAGCCAGGCTAGCAAAGAGAGCACCCTGCCCCGCGTCGAGCACTGTGCTCCCTTCTCTCCCTTCGCTGCTAAGTGGTCAGTGAAGCAAGCATTGCTTACTCAAGGGCCCAGCTGCAGTAGGATTGGGTCCATATAGTGTGTCATGAAGCACATGTGGGGGAAAGTACTCAGTGGTAGTCAGGCCATCGGAGTTGAAGTCCCAGCTCTGCCTATAAATCATGATGTCTGACAAGTCACTTGAGTTCTCCATGTTTCCTCTTCCATATCTATTCAGGGTTCAGCCATCTGTTGCCTACTATTATACATGCCAGCGCTGACCTTCTAGGATTCCACAGGAGTTCTATTTTAATGCCCCTGGAGGTAGTGTTTCTCTGGGCTCAGATGGGAGTTTTCACAACACTCTGCCTGCAGGGTGCCTGGCACCTTTAAAAATAGGATGGCTGCCACAGATGTCGAGGAATAGCAGGAGAGGTTCTTGGGAGGCCGTTTGCACAGAGATGCTTGGGGAACATTGAGTAAGGCTTGGCATCACTGCCCAGAAGGAGGAGGTGTCTTCCCACATGGCATCTGAAATACAGCCACCCTGCTGTGGAGGCTGCTGGCAGCTGGCACATCTGGCACCCACATGGAGGTTCCCAGTAGGGCCTGCTGTTAGAAGGACCCAAATGAATTGGTCTGTGAAGACTGTCTGACAGGAACCAGGCAGGAAGGAGCAAAACAGGTGAATCATGAGGTGCTGATCTAACCCCCGCCAAGACCCTGGTCTTCCTATTCTTGACCGGATCCAGGTCCCATCACAAGGGGACAGGATGGTCATCCAGCTGGGTCTTACAATTATGAAGAACGTCCATATTGGACGTTTGATATTGTCGAGTGCAGAATAAAAGAAGCAGACAGCCATTCCTCAACTTGAAGCTTGTGCCCATTACTGACTCATACTGCTTAGAGCATGTCACAAATGAATGTCATACATCCTGTAATGATCACGGGATGAGGCCAGTTGTATCCTACTGTATTTGTGCAATAAGACATCACTTTATTAAACACAGACATATAAAATATTCCCTAATTTTTATAACCTTGTTTTGGCATTCCTTAGTTATTTTTAACATAACTGGAAGCTTAAAAATATGGAAGCGGCCAGGATTTTGGTGACCTTTTAGACCAAACCTCATCTTTATGTGTATTTTTTTTTCCACTCCATTAGATTCAAACAGTGACAAAGCAAGTCCTGGTGGCACCTCAGTCAGAAGAGGAGGGCAATGTCACCAACTCTGTCATCTCTCTGTTGACCGAGGCTGCAACAGATGCACCTGAGGAAACAAAGGTGGTTACCAAGAAGGGCCTGGAGTTCAAGGATGGCATGAATGTCTTAGGTAGGCAACCTGGTATTCATCTCCCTAGGGGGGCGCCTTTGCTTCATGACCATGGCCAGCCTTTTCTACATCTCAGCACCTCTGCGTTCCTCACTGGCCTTTCAGGAAACCAGATGCTCTGCTGTCCTCAAGATGGGGCAGGAGGCTGTCTCTGGGGAGTGGCCTGAAGGTCACTGGGACTGATAGCTGAGAGATTAAGGAAGAGTGAGATGGGAAGAAGCAATACCATGAGGGGACATGATGGACATGATAGCCAGAGGTCAGAAAGGGGAAAAGAGGCAGGACTGACATTCCTTGGGCACATTCCCATTCTGCATGGTATTGGCAAGTCCCTTTTCTGACTCTCCATTTCATGAAGTTACATGTTTAATTCTTTCAGTTTTTAAGCTTTTATTTTTTTTGAGCTGCCCTTGTGTACTAGTACTGTGCTAGGCCTTGGGGATGTCCCACCCCAGTTCTCATAGTCTGTAAACAAATACAGTGCTATCAGGAGTGTAAAGTGTTAGAATTTGTGCCAAAAGGAGCTTATCAAAAGGAGATTATCTTGTTTAATTTTCTGGAAGTCCAATGAGCCCTTTCTCCTAACCTGAAACCTTCTTACCATCCCAGAGATTGTTTGGCTGTCTAGTTGGATGAACCAGGTTTGGGTCCCTTGTGGACCACTCACTGGTTATCTGATTATAGGCAAGTTTCCCCACTTCTTGGGCTTCATTTGTAAAGTGGGGATGGGATTGGCATTTTTCTTGTAGCTCATTTTGGGCATTAAATGAGATCGTGCATGTGGAACACAATAATACATGCCACGGGCTTAATTCATGTGAGCTACTGTCATTATTAAAAGTGGGCGGAGAGCTGAAGAGCTTAATAAAAAAAACAACTTCCACAGAGGATAGAGACTCCCCGTCTCGTGAGTGACTGTAGTTTGCTCAGTTTACTCCCCACCCACCCCCTTGTCCACTCCCCACCAGAACCCCCATCAAGTATTGGAATGGTGTCCCCAAGACAAGAAAGAGGGACATTTGGCCATAAGCTGAGAAAGATGGGAAAATCTGGGTGGAGATGTTCATCCATGCAAGCGAGATTTCTAAGGATTTCTGTGAGAGGTGTTCAAAAGTGGATGAGCTCAGTGGTCCTTCCACTTAGCCATCTAGGAGATTGAATACCTTTGTCTCCTTAGTAAGGTTGGCAGATAAAATACAGAATGCCAAGTTATGTGAATTTCAGATAAACAAGTAATTTTTTTAGTGTACGTCCCAATATTGCATGGGACATATTTATACACCACCACCCCCAATTATTCATTGGTTATCTGCAATCAAATTTTAACTGGGTATTTTGTGTGCTTGTTTGTTTTCAATTTGATAAATTTAAATTTACTTCTTACTCACCCAGAATGGTCAAAAAAGGCAGAGGAGCAGGATTGCTCAGCTACTAAAAAGCAGAAGCTCCAGTGAGGGAATTTTTTTTTGGCAGGAAGTAGGTTGGGTAAGTGAGAGTGAGGAAGGAGATGAGCGACTAGGTTGCCAGGCAATGGAAGATCAATAAACACTGTTGACCATCAGTGTGAGGCAAGAGGAGGAAGGGGAGAGTGGAGAACGGGAGCGTTCCTCTGAGAAGGAGAGTTTGCAAACATCCTCAGGAGGCCCTCATGAGCAGCTCTTGTCTCTCACTGCCCAGATATCTGTGAGCCTTTCAGGACCTTCCCAACGGCCCTTGGTTTCCCAAACCCTGTGGTCCAAGTGGCTCCACAGTTATCTATACACCCTGGAGGAGGTCGAAGCCATGAATAATGAGGCCAAAGCTTTGGAGTGAATCATTCAGAAGACTTTCAATGTCGTTTGCCGACTCTCGGTGGATTCTGGGAAGTCATGCGACCTTTGACTGTGCTGGGGAGTTTCAACACAACTCACTCTTCTCTCAACCCCAGTGAGCAAGTCTAAAAGGGCTTTGTTCAAATGGAACACCACTGCTCCAGTGAGTTCAATGAGGCAATATTTACGGAGGGGAGTGACAAGCTGGACCTGGGCTTCCAAGTGCCGTTTGAGGCTCTGGAAAGCCAAGGGAAGTCAGACTGTTGAGAAACTTCCCATTTACAAATCACAGCTGAAAAAAGGTTCTTTCCATGGCTTTCCAAAGGCAGAGATGGTAGCTTTCTTTGTTTTTCTGTTTTTGGCTTTGGAAAGTCCCGAGGGTCAAGCATTGCAAGAAGTAACCATAAAACCGTGGTTCTGGCCTCCCATTTCTTTAAAGACTTAGTCCTCTCCCAGAAAACCTCCAGAGCACTTCTGGGCTCCACTCTAATCCTAACTGCTTAAATCAACTCCTCTGAGAGATTGCTTCTTTAAACATTTCTCTTTCTCTTGTACTCACAGATACGGCCAATTTCTGCTGACCCTGCAAGGGGCACCTGTTTTATACCATTATCATATTATAATGCTATCATTACCTGATACAGCTCAAGACTCCAGGCATAACTGGACACAATAGGAAACTGGACATCCAAGGGAGTAACTGGAAATTAGGTCTGCCAAACTGGGACAGGGTAGAGGTGGGGGAAGAGGAGGGAAACAGAGGGAAGAGAGACTGGCTTATATGGTAGGTAGTTCAGAGAAAAAAAAATCAGATGGACAGCAAGGTCCTGTAGCCAAGGGGACAGCAATATTGATTTATAGTCAAGCAAGTCATCCTAATTGGAGACCCAAGATTGGCAATAATGGACCTGGAGGTGGGGGGCACATGGTAACTGGTAATCAGAAGTCCAGACAGCCCCTAGGCAGTCATGGGGACATGTGTTAGCCAGGAAGCACTCCCATTCCCCCGGTTGTTTCTGGGTGAGACTCCAGGCCAGGCAGGGGTTTGGTGAGGAGAGCAAAGCCAGGCCTTGGAGAAACTAAAGTATAGGGCACATTCCCAGGACTAAAAACTCAGGTGCAGGGAATGAGGCCAAAGCCAACACAGGAATAAGACCCAAGGTTGAGTGTTGAAGTTGGTCCAGGACCTACCTAGTGCAATTTGATGCTGACATCAAAAGGTGAGGACAGAGCTCCTCAAATCCTTCCGAGGTTAGGATTGATCCTGGAGGGTAAGGTGGGGCTAGACTTAGATGAAAGTCAAATAATGTTAAATGACCGAAGCGGGCTGAGGGGCTAGGAAGTAACTAAGTCTATGTTCTATCTTTAAGATCCTGGGGAAAAAAAGAATTGAAAGAAAAAGCATTCGAATCTTTTTGACCAGGAAAAGAATTGTGATGCATTAATAAATAACAGGTTAAACCCAAATAAACCGGTTCAGTTGGGGTTTTCCAACTGTTTTGGATTTCTCTTTACTTTCCATTTGATTTCTTGAGATTCCTCCTCCTTCTCACATTAGGTGTGTAGCCACAGAAAAATTATTTTATGTTTAGGATTTTCCTAGAGTGAAACATACCAATAATGCATGAATTTGGGATAAACACCAAACTAATATAACCCTGGCAGAGACTTGACTGGCTAATTGGTCTCTGCTATTCAAATATTGGCTCCAAAGTTTGCATGCAAATCCCCAAGTCCCAACAAGCCTTCTTTCATTTATCTATGTACTAATAAAATCTGTTTATACATGCTTTCATAAGTGAGGAGGAGAGAGAAGAGGGTACTTTTTAGTTTGGAATGAAAATGAATTTATTTTCTTCAAGAACCAGCACTGCTGACAGTTCAACTCACTCAGATGGAAAGTGTTAAGGGAAGCCATGCTTACCCAGGGGAAAGGCGTTTTCAGTGTGACAGCTAATGCTTTTGTCCTTTAATGCCTAATTCATGGGGCAACAGGTTGTGAGCATGTGGCTTCATACATTGGGATTGGTAAAGAACGAAGGAAAAGAAACGCATACTTTGTAATTTGTCCTTCTGTGTAATGTGTTTTGCCCCACAGGTCTGATAGGGTTTTTCATTGCCTTTGGCATCGCCATGGGGAAGATGGGAGAGCAGGCCAAGCTGATGGTGGAATTCTTCAACATTCTGAATGAGATTGTAATGAAGTTAGTGATCATGATCATGTGGTAAGTGGGCTTGTTCTTACTTCTTCGTGGTGGGGTTATGAGAAGGTCTTGGGGTCCCCAGAAAACAATGGAAAGAGTGGGTGGATGTGGATCAAGCAAAGGGCTCTCTGGAAGGACTTTGAGAAAGGGATGAAAATCTCTTTTTTGGAACTTCCCCTAGAAAATGGGCCAGGAAACTATGGCGCATGGGCCGAATCCTATCTGCCACTTGTTTTGCATGGCCTGTGAGTTAAGAATGGGTTTTCTGTACTTATGTTTGCTGGGAGGGAAAAACAAATCAAAAGAGTAATAATATTCCACAACACATGGAAATTATACGAAATTCACATTCAGTGCCCATAAATAAAGTTTTATGAGTATTTGAACACAGCCACACCCATTTATTCCTGTATTGTCTAGTGTTGCTTTTGTGTTAAATAGCAGAGTTGAGTAGTTCTGACCAAGACTGTGTAGCCTGTAAAGCCTAAAATATTTACTATTTGGCCCTTTGCATAAAGAGTTTGCTGATCCCTGCCCTGGAAAAAAAAGCAAACGAAACAGAGAGACAAGCTGAAAAAACCAATCAGAACTATTGAAGCTGAGCAGTAACAGGAAACACTAAGATGAACCCAAGATACCAGGGGTATGGCATAACCCAGGACACGTGAAAGAACTACTGCTCCAATATTCCAGCATCCAAAGCAATGTATCTCTGATCTGGGTTACCCATGACTGAGAAGAAAAAAGAGGCAGTTCCCAGACCATGCAAGCAAAAGTGAAATCACAGAATATATGAGAACTGCAAGTGCTCTTGGGAATCTGGCCCCACCCTCTAGTTTTATAGAAGAGAATACTGTGGTCTGAACACACTAAATCTTGATTCTTTAACATCATGATGATCATTATAATAATAGGAGCTATCGTTTATTGTTTTTCATCTGCCAAGAACCATGATTGGTACTTAATACCTATCAAAGGTAATATCAACATCCCTGCAAAGCTGGACCATTATTCCCATCTTACAGAAAAGGCATCTGAGAGGCTCACTGAGGTGAATTAACTTGCCTAAGATTATATAGCTACGAAGAGGAGGAGCTGGAGTTCACGCTGATATTAAAACCCTTGATGCGTATCGGGGCGGGATGTTTTTATTTGCTTGAATCGTCTAAGCAACATTGTCTCCACTTCATTTCATGAGTGTCTGTGGTCAGGGTTCTGAAATCTTGGATAGCCCAGGAGATCATGAGGATTTACTTCTTCATCAAGGAAGCTGTGCCACCTTCAGTCCCTGGAACCATCTAGTGTCCCGAATCTGACAGAAAGATGTTTATGTGCATTTATTTCAAACCCTTTTGATGGTCCTGTATGCCTGCCTAGGGAAAAACAAAACAAAACAAAACAAAAAGCAAAAACAAAACAAAACACCACACATTATTAGACCAAACCACATCTGTGTTCATTTGCCACAGGAATTCTGGGTTACAAATTCCCCGTCTGCACGTCCCAGTCCTACCCACTTTCCCCCGCAACCCCACTCTGATCCTCTTCCATTTCTATGTGTGCCTTCCCCTGAAATTCTACCTTCGTTCTCTCTTCTTCTTTCCCTTGGCCCCTACTCCTACCTTACAAGGGCAGAAATCTGTTCTTGGCTTATATATTTTTTTTATCTCCACCGAACAAAACATGGTGATATGCCTGTAGTAAATTCTTACTAAAACTTCAGGAATGAGTAGGCTAGCTGAAGGCTCCAGGGTCTCAGATCAAGAAGATGTTTCTCATGAGTTCCTGAACCATATTTAATAGACCGGGCTTGTTCAAATCATTGCTTTATTGCGCTTTTAAATTACGGAAAGGATGCTAGTAAAATAATGTGTGTTTTTTTATGATTGACCCGATTCTTCAACTTCCAGGCAATGATAGATTTCTGAATGTTTCTTTTGTGTCAAGACTTAAAGCCACACACAGGCGATGCTGTAAAAAATGTTAAGACTTTTAGACCCATTCTGAGCTTGTTGAGAGTTTAATCAATGATAATACATAAAGCAGAATAAGCCTCTTGTTTGCTAGAATTATGAGCAGAGTGAGCATTGTTGCAGTTCCTGTGTCTGTATTATGAAGCCAATAACGTGGGCAATGTATGAAAGCTGCTTCCTTCATCTGTACCAACATCATTTCCACAGAGCCCTTGAAAGAAAGGGGATCTTCTAGGACATCAGATGAGTCATGGGATAAAATGTAGCCTTTCTTCTCCCCAGCGATGGAGGGTGGGCTGGATCAGTTTCCCAGTCACCGAAACCATCACTCCTAAAGATTTAGCATCATCTCCCAGGAGATGAAGAGCAATTGTGAGTCAGAAGTCAGACCTATGGAACGATTTCTGACAGCTGTTCAGTTACCTCATCTAGGCAGACAGTCAGGAGGGTGTTACATAACATGAGATGCCAATTCTACACATTTCTTTCATTCTTTAGCTGCCTTGTTATCAAATGCCTTCACATTTGATAACGGTGTGTGTGAGAACATTCTGGATAAAACAACCAACCACTCTTTAACTGACCCCCTCAAAGCTTAAAGAGTCAGTTCTTGAGTATTCTTCTCTGTGTGGTAGTAAGAATAGTAATAAAAGTAAAATATAACATTGAGGAGATTACTAATATGCTAATAATTATTATTATTAAATTGTGACATAGAGTTATTAAATTCTTGCTATATGCTCAGTACTATTTTGATTACTGTATTGTACTTATTTATTACTGGGAAGATAATCATTATTAGTACAATCAATATTAAATCATCACTAAGACTTAACCATATTCCTGCATTATGCTTAATGCTATTCCAATTACTTTACATGCATTAACTCATTTATTTTTTATAATAATACCTAGCAAAAATAGTACCTTTGTTATCCCTGTTTTCCAGATGAGCACAGAGTCTAATTTGCCCAGTATTGCACAGCCTAAGTGATGGGAGTTGTATGAAAGTGGTCCCTAACTCAACTTCTGTCTAACTTCAGACTGGATTGGATCCAGGATCCTCCTATTACTAGCTATGTGACTTTAGGCAAATTAGACACACTCTAAACCCCACAGCCTGATCTGTAAAATGGATTGATCACAGAATCTACATCATGAAATTGCTGTGAGAAGTAAGTGAAATTGCGACCAACAGTTGTGGAGCGTTTCCTATGTTCTGGGACCTACCTAAACACTTTATATGAACTAGTATTATTATTGTTGTTAGATTATGATTGCCATTACTATCATCACTTCAATCCATATTTTTTGTTTCTTTGTGTTCATGAATTTTTTAATATTGAAAAATCTTAAAAATTTCCAAGGCTCTCTGATTGGAAAGGAGAGAGAGAGAGAGAGAGAGAGAGAGAGAGAGAGAGAGAGAGAGAGAGAGAGAGAGAGAGAGAAGAGAAGAGAGAGGGAGAGACTTAATTTCAGTGAGGATACTTTCATATCCTCATTTTCTGCAAAGTTTTTAAAAATATTTTTTAATTTTGGAAACCTAAACAGAAAGTAACACTTTTTATAATCTCATCACTATAGAAACATAAAGTGAGAAGTGAACTCCCTCCTCACTCTTTCGATTCTCCTTCCCAGTTAACCCACCATAACCATCCTTGCATCATCCATCCATCCATCTATCCATCCATCCTTTCACTCCACAAGTATTTCTTGAGCATTTCTTTTATGCCCATAACAATTTTTGGCACTGGCGATATAATGGTGAATAAGACAGAGAAAGATTCCTGCCCTTGTGGAGCTTAATTCTATTGAAAGGAGAGGAAAAAAGTAAAAGGAAACAAAAGGTAAGAATTCAGATAGTAACCAGTGTACAAAATCAATAAACATGGAAACAGGAAAGATAGTGATGGGGGGATGGAAGTGAGGCATGAACTCTACAGGAAGATTCAGGGAGGGCTGTTTGGGAAAGTGACTTTTTTTGGAGGGGTGGGGGGAAGCCTGGGGGGTGTGTGGCACAGTGACTTTTGATGAAGACCTAAAGAATGAGAGGGAGGCAGCTCTATGAAGAACCAAGAGGAGAGTTTTCCAGGGGTAGCAAACAGCAAGTGAAAGTTTTCTGAGGGTTAGAAGGAAGGTCTGGTGTGGCTGAAGTGTGGTTAGGCAGTAAGGGGGTGTGGCAAGTGGTGAAGTTGGAGAGAGGGCAGGAGGCATATCCCACAGGACCCTTAGGCCACTGTGAAGAGCTGGGGTTTTATTTACATGTAAAAGGAAGTCCCTGGAGGGTTAGGAGCCTGGAGGCTGTATGAACTGATTTTTACTCTATCCTAATGAAAAGTTTTAAGCCACATATTGGAACTGTCAGCAAAAGTCACTCGTTGGGTAGCCAGAACACCTCTCCCGAGGTGGATTGGGCAAAATGGAGATTTTACTTCCTGAGCCTGAGTACAGACAGCAACTTTAAATAATTGGAAGGTGTCTTTAATTCTTTATTGACTGACAGACTCTTCCAATTCTGAGTTCTCTTGGGATCCATCCCAAGTTGGCAGACTGGCACTGCGATTGGAAGTGTATGGGACAGAACCAGAGGGGCTTTACGGCAGGACTAAGAAAGTCCCTCCACTTACCTCCACTCCAGGTGTCTGGCCCACCATCTGTCCTGTGCCTGGAAGTCCTGAATTAACTACTTTAGTGGTTTTTAAGACCAAAGGCCCTGAATAAATTGGAGCTGAAGTAAATAGTTTCCAAAGGCTAACCAAGTAATATCTGCATTTCATCAGATGCCCATCAGATTTTAATCTGTGAAACACTGGTTTCCAAACATGTCAGAATTCCCTGGGGAGCATATTTAAAATAGAAATGCCCCAAGGCCAGCTACTGGAAATTCTAACTTAATAGGTATGTGGTGGGTCCAGGGAACCCATATTGTTACCGGGCATGCCAGGTGATTCCAAAGCAGGTGTCTGAATACAGAGACCCAACTGAGCTCTGGGCATGTTAAGCGCTGTGTATGAGTTTGAGTTTGTGGAGTGGAGAGCAAACCTAAACGGGGCATCTTGGTGGGAACCTTAGGATGACAAAGACTGAGGTGCAAAGTAAGCGGAGGCAACAAGAGGCTATTCTTGGTATTCAACAGTAAGAAAAAGTCTTGACAGGCCAGTGCTGGATGAATCAGTGGCTTTGAAAACAGTACACAGAGCTGAGGATACAACCAGTCTAAAGGCAACATGGAAGCCATTCACTCCCCCTAGCTCTGTAGTCACGTCCTTCTCATGTAAACACTGGGCCGGCATTTACGTGGCATCCTTTGGCTTCAGCACGCTCACTGGAGCCCTGAGCTTCTTCATGCACTTTGGTTTATGGCTTTGATTGTTTGTTTCGGCTCAGAAGCTTTGAGTGGCGACCCTGGACCCTGTTTATTTGCCCTTTCTTTTCTATGGAGTGTCCTTTTCCATGAGATAATTAAGTAATATGGAAACGCAGGAACTCAGCTTCTGAGTGGAGGCTTTAAGTTACTTGTTTTGAAAACAGGTGCAGGGAAGTCATGGCCCTGAAAGGCATCGTAGAACAAAGACTCCTCCTGATTAGTGCTCATTCTAGTCCCACAAACAAAGTTGTTCAGGTCAACTAGAGCCCCTGCTTGCCATGTTTATTTCCCCCAAACACTCTACTTTTGGCCTTTGACTAGCACTCTCCATTAACAGTGGGGACTTATGTTTTTCCCAGCGAGCCGAGTGCTCCGAGGTAACCTGGTACCTCCCTCTTACTCATTTGGCTCTGGTTCAAATGTGTTCTCCAGGGGGACTTCATAGCTGGTCTTGTTTGGCAATGAGACTTGAAAACGTTTTCTCTCCATTCTACCAATTGCTTGTCCCAAAAGAGCAGAAAAACTGGACGGCACCCAAAACAGCTCATATTTGTATTTTTCTGGAGCTCTTGAAAGGATGATTGGTGCTTCAGAAAGAATTAATCTCTCAGTTTATGAAGATAAATGTTTGTTGGCTTTATTGGAAGGTGCATTCTGTTCAGTTATTTATAATCCCAGGGAACAAATTGCTGGCCCCTGAGACTACCCCACTGATCTATGTGAGGTGTTGTGACTATAGGCACACCGGGAGAATGTGACATGGCGGGAAACCCAAGGGTTTAATGACATGATTCTCTAATGCCTGTGGAAGCAGTCGTTAAGCATCAGCCAGCCTTTGCCTTAAGGAAAGGAGAAGTGAAGTCTACAGACCAGGTGCTCATCAGGGATGAGAGCGACTATGCTAATGTTTTAATTCATTAGTGTCAGTTACAAATCACCTCTTTCAGGAGAAGTGTCCTCTTAAGAAAATATTTTGCTTGTAAGAGCATCCACACTGGGTGGCAGTCGCCCAAGAGATGTTTTAGAAAGCCTCACTCACTCAGACTTGACTCCTTAAGCATGGGTGATGTGAGGATGTGGGGTATATGTCTGAAAACAGAACAAACAAGGATTCCTCTGTCAGGAGTCAGAGAAGTACTAGTGCTGACAGCGATGGGAGGATTGCTGACAGTGCATATATATGCATGCTCAAAAACGTAATCCTCGCAGCAACCCCGTGAGGTTGGAGATGGCCTCTTTAAGCATTGATTTGCACATCTGTAAAACGGGAATATGTCACTAACCAAGGTCATACAGCTGGTAAATGGCTGGACAGTCTCTGTATCTTATGTAATTGTGCATACAGGACTCTCATAAACTCCTTACAGTTTTTCTTTAGCCAGGGAAGGGCTTTTGTTTTTGCAAAAAAATAAAAAACAAAAGCAAAAGGCACACCTGGCATTGGTCCTCTCTCCCTTTCCTGACTCCTTTATTCCCGCTGGGGGCCTTATCCTGGGATTTTATTTTCCCCACAGTCGTTCTCTCAACTACATTTATAATTCTTAAAAATGTATCAGGCTTCTCACAAACATTTTCATTTCAGTCAGAAAGTGTCACAGGCTGAACAAGTTCATGCTCCAACAACACCAGATTGGGCAATAAAAAAGGGAAGCTGCCAACCATGTGAAAAATACTCCAGATGAGAGAGAATGTGGTTCGCTTAATCAAGAGTGAGGACAACAGTAAATTGTTTCTAAGCTCTCTATAAAATACTAATAATATGTAAATATGACATAAGCTTCTATAGGATAAATTGGTATATGGTAAATTGTCTGCTTAGATATGAAGAGGTAAAATTGCTGATTAAAGGGAAGTGGTTTGGCTTGGTAGGGGGGGAAAAACCAGTCATGGAGTTTCACAGACCTGAGATTGTTCTCTGATTGCTTTTGTTGTCTTGGACTGCTTATTTAACTTTTCTCAACCTCAATTGCCTCATTTGCCAAACAGGAATAATGATGCCTAGATTTTAGGAGTATGGTAAGAATTAAATGAGGCGATGTGTGGAGAGCTTTTCATTAGAGAGACAGCATTGTTAGAGTAAGTATGGAAAGAAATACTTTCAGACTTAGAAGTGATAAAACCACATTTCTCTAAATGTACTCTTTGGCTCATATGGTTTTCTTATTTTGTTCTCTCTCTCTCTCTCTCTCTCTCTCTCTCTCTCTCTCTCTCTCTCTCTCTCTCTCTCTCTCTCT